ATTCTGTAGATAAAAGTGTAAACATTGCTTTTATAAATCTGATGAACTGCAGTTGTGTTACAGTGACATTATCAATAGGATAACTATGTTTTTTCTTCAGTAAAATACTTGAGATGAGAAATATACCTCTTATCTGCATGCTGATATCTGTATTTCTCTGCTGGGAACTAATTTAAACACTTCATGAGAGATTGACATTTTCAGTGCCTTAAACATCCTTAAAAGCTGCTTTGTTCATTGCAAACCATATTTAGTATGACCTCATAATAATGTAGCACACCTCAAGTGTCATGCCTGTCTTTACTATGCACATTGGAGCTGTGTTCATCTATACTAGACAACTGCACTTCAAGGGAAGATTTTTTTTTCCTTGATAGGCAATTAGCAGTAATTAGGAAGATTCACTTCAGTAAGATGTCAACATAAGATTGTTTAAAGAAGTTGAATGTCAGTGGCTTTAAAAGAGTTTTTTTTCCCCCTGACACACAGGTATGGCATGTGAAACATGAAATGTTAATTTAACTTTTCTGCTTATTATTCATGCACAATATTATTTTGTCATTCAGATACTACACTGACAGAGTGCAAAGGGTGTTAAAATAGTGCTGCTAGAATAAAAAGAGGATTAATCTACCATTGGCCAATTAGCCAAAGGGTACTTAATGGTCTCTAAAGGCTACTGAAGTCTAACAACTAGCTAAAGCACTGGCAAAAAGTCCTCTATATTACCTTCATTTACTTGACATTTTGTGAAACAATAAGTTACAGATAACTGCATTTGGCTGAAAAAAAACCCATAACTCAGTGATACAGTAGATTTTATTAAAATTTCAGAAGAATGAATGACAAATAACTTGTACATTTCAGAACTTTTTCTTGCTTTGGAGGAGGTCTTTGTTTCAGTTTAGGGGTAGGTTATTAAGTCACCAGAGACTTCTGTTTCATATTCTGTCTTCATGTCTGGAATACTGAGTAATCAACCACTTACAGCACTTGCATAAAAAAAACTTTCACTGAAGATTTGGATTTATTTGCCTTTTCTCTATATAATCACATACGTGATCACATGGCTTTTTAGTCTGGTATATATCTTTCCGTATTTTCAGATAGCTACATACCATCTTTATTAATTTTAGCTTTTTTTCCTTTTGTGAGCCATCAGGCAGAGGGAGGTTTTGATTTGAGAACCAAAACAGGATCAAGATTAGTGGGATTGACTAAATAAATTTTGCCTTGGATATTGTAAATAGGCTTATCATTATGTTGTAATAACATCTGATAGAGTGTGTAAAATCATAAATACTTCTGTACCTGCATATATGTTTTGAAAAGTTCTTTCACAGTTTATGTGTGCAACAAGTACTGCTTATCCTATATATTTTTCATGATCAAGCTAAAGCTGTAAGAAAATTGCATTCTATTTAAAACCTGCAGGTGGGTGGTGTTAGATTTTAAAGTAGAACTTGGTACAGGAGCTGTGCATATAGTAAATGTATTTTATTACCTGCTGTTGCAAAGTTTCTTAGAGAAAAGAAAATATGTTGACTCCAGGTTGCTTACAGACATCTCGATGCACACTGTCACTTCTTCATCTGCCAGGATTTTAGGATGAAAGCTTCATACCAAATAGGATTTTTACACATCTAAGGGTATTTATATTGGTTATAGTTTTATTACAAAATAAGCAGTAAAATAAGGTTATGCCATTGCTTAAAAAGGGTTTCAAGAATACCTGTTTTACATCTTATTTTATAATTTTGCCTGGAAATACGTTCTATGTAATACATTCTGCAAATATAAATACATTCTGCAAATATAAGTGCATGGGATCATACACAGCAGTGGCAGTGCAGTAGCAGCCACCAGCACCAGAAATGTCATTTTCATACACGCCAGTTGTAGTAGGAGGATGACTGCTGTAAACGAAGCTAGAAGCTCCTCTCATGGCTGTGATGCCAAGGAGCAATACGCCATTCTGTGAGCTTCCTACATTAATCCATTCGGCCAAGCAAGTAGCTTGCTTTCTGAGCGTAGAGCTTATGGTAAAAGCCTTGCTGAGTCACTGGAAGTTTCACACTGACTACATCGAAACTGAGATTTCACCACTTATCCCTCTGTGTACAGCAGAAGACTGTCATGGGTATACCAGGAGCAAGGACATTAAGATAGATGGATGTTAAAATATTGAATTTGTAAACATCTGCTAAGCCAAACCACTCTGGAGGAGGTGCTGCAGACAAAGGCCCAACATCGCGGAGGAACAGCGGTAGCCTGCCTTTATCAACATCTGGTCTAGCTGGTGTTTTAAGATTCTACCTTTCATGCTGGTGACCTCTTCCCCTGGAGTAAATCCTTTTCACCCTGTCACTCAGGATTTGTGTGCATGGGAGCACACACACAAAACCCGCCCCGCGTCTAAAAAAGAACAAAAGGCTTGACCTAAAACTTAGCAAGTGGTGAGGGACAGCAGGGCAGTGAACTTGCTTCTTAAGTAAGTAAATGCAGGGAATTATCTTTCAGGCATAAGTGTCTTGCCAGGGCAGGCTGACTGTTTTTCACATCCCACATAGATTTATTTTCGTATGTCCTTTCAATATATTGCAAATAGAAGAATAATGCAGTAGAATTATCAACCTTGTAGTGCCATTTATATTGACTCCAGAGCTGTTAAAAGACAACCTTCTTGATATCTCTGATTGCAGTTGTGTCTTGTCTTTGTCTGTTTGCAAGTTGGAGTGTGTTTATCTTGTATATTATACGCTACTTTCACTTCACACCCGTAGTTCTAATGCTGTTTCTGAATTTATGTGCAGTCGTGTTGTAAATAATTTTTTCTACCTCCTCACTTAAGTAAATTCCGTAACCAGTGTAGCACTGTCCTTTTTGGCACCTGTCCCATGAAAGCCCTTTCTTTTTCAATATATTTGCTGTCATTTTTGTGACTGTGGCCACTTAACAGTCACGGCATTTTAGACCAGATGCATTTTGGCAGCAGCAGTAGCCTATGAAACTTGTGAGAGTCATGAGCTCTCTTGGGCAGGTATGGGGACATTTCATTTAATAGGAGATACTGATCTAGCTGTGATTTTTTAATTTATTTTTGGTTTATGAATAATCTATTATATGAAATTCTGCATGTAGAAGTATCGGCGATACTGGACAAATGAACCTAATTCTTATATCTTGCTATACTACCACTGGTTTTGCTTGTTAAAGTGGCGTTCGTTGTGTCTTTTACTCAAACTGTATTAATTGTGAGAATAATGTATCACATTAAGGAATAGCCTAGAAAATACATTAACACTGTTTACCTCTTGTTCAATAATGACAGCAGATGCAGAAGAGAATAGAAATATTAACCCCTTTACTAAGAACAGTACTTATCTCAGATACATATGTAAACTTAAGCGTAAAATTCTGTTAAAGTGAAGATTAGCTTTAAATATAGGGTGCATTTTCTTTATTTTTTAAGCTTTTACAAACATTCTCATGTCATTCATAATGAGAATAAATATGACCAGAAATAGGTTTTTTTTTTTATTTGGATATATATGTGATCTTCAAATGATTGTTATGGAAGTGTATATTAACACATATATATAAAAGGTTTTTTCTATTAACAACAAAAATTATAAAATCTCTTTTTGAGTTAAATAATAAGATGCTTGGAAACAGAATACTATCTTTTAACCTTCTCTCACCCATGTTCTTTTGTGTACCAGCATATAATCGGGCACACATTTAATCATTTTAGGACATAGTATCTTCTCCAATTTCTTATCAGGAGTCTTCACAAATGAAGGAGTTTTTTCCCCTTCGATAGATCTCAATACCATTTTGTATAATTGTTTGTTATGTTAAACTACTGTGCTACAGTTTTCTTTGGAATGATAAGGCAGTACTGTAGTTACCCTCTTAAGGAGCAGAGAGGCCATTAGTGGCTTTTGGCTGACTACAGATTGGTGAAAGTTAACCACTAGCATGAAGGTTATTTCAGATCCCCTTTTCTCAGAACAACATTGATTATTATTTATATTAAAACAAATAATTTATTTAAAATATTACCTCTTTGTGGAGGACTGAGAAATATATTGTTACAAAGACTGAGTAAGTCTCGTCAGTTGTCAATCAAGTGCAACAAGACTAAGAGTTTGTTTGCATGTTATTTATTTAAACTAAATCCCTAACAAGCCTCGTCTGCTAATTGGACTTAGCATTTATGTTGCTAAATGAGAAGCATTTTGGCTGCAGTATAGGGTGGTAAGACCTACCCAGTGGAATAAACAACTAACATCTGTTATCCTGTCCTGCTCCAGCTTGGCTTTTACTTAAGTACCTCAGCCCTAGAGTCAAGGTTATGGAATATCTGGTTCTCTGGCTATGGTGCATGTATGTGGAAGAGAAGAAATAACGCAACATGAATAAAGACCAGCCAACCAGAAGATATTTAGTGCAGCTGGTCCACTTTGCTTTAACCTCTACGAGCCCTACAAATATCAAAACAAAAGCTGAGAGAAGGGTGTATGTTTTATAACAGTTGTCAACACAACAATTCAAGTGAGCTTACAGCGGTCACCATTAAAACTGATTTGACATTTAACTACCTTTAATATGCATTGGTGTCTGACACACCTCTACCTGTTCTGTATAGAAATAATTGCTGCATCCCAGAGGGGCTCTAGGTAAACAGTAACTACTGTTACAGTTTTGTATGATAATTTTTGCCTGCCATGGTACAAATAGCAGTGTATACACTGAAAATCTAATTAGCTTGCTTTTTAAAAAAAATCCTTTTTTTAATATTTAGTTGACTTCTCTGTTCTGCTGGATTTGATCTTTGTGTGGACTAGAGAATTCAACCTACAGCTATGCAATATAATTACAGATAACTTATACTGTTTTATTCTTCTTGAATTTTTGACTCAGAGAAGCATCTCCTATGACCAAGCAGAAACTTTTTTAGGATGCAGTTGTGATTGTTTCTTCTTTTTGTAAAACAGGTGTTGACCACCAGCCTGGTCAAGTGGCAACAGGAGAAGGAGGATTTACAAGAAAAATTGAAGTTGGGAGAACATCGGTCTCAACCTGCTGGCAATAGTGCAGCCACACCAGCTCCTTCAAATAACATTGATTTAGAGATAAAACAGCTGCAGTGCAAACTAAAGGTGACAGACATTATCTAGTGCTGAGGATAATTCGTATGAACAGTATTTCATGACTGGGTCAAGCAGATATATGTATATTCACATATACATATCATCTGTATATATTAACCAATGATTAGCATCTTAGGTGTAGGGTAACCTTTGCTGTTCAGTAGAAATGCAGTCATAAGCAGGAGAATTAAAAGTTAAAACAATTTTTGCAGATCAGGTAGGCCCAGACAGGGAGGCTTGCTGGGTTTTCACACAATGATTAAATGCATCTTGTTGGAGAGTGCTGTGGAATTACTTCAGTGAGAATTGTGTCGATTCCTTGCTTCCTTTAAGAAGGAGGTTCGCAATAGCTATCTGTGAAAGTGGAGCATGGAACTTGGGCTGAGGGGGCAGCTCAATGTAATGTAACAGTGTTGTGTTACCTATATATCACTACTATTCTTGTCTTCAAAGAGACATCATTCTTTTTGTATTTTCGTAGATTAGCCAGTAGGAAATTACTGGTTTGTTATTGATGTCATTTTTAAGTCTCCAGTCATTCTATTATATATATGGATGATGTAGATGCTGGAATGTGTTGATCTGAGAGCTTTCTCAAGCGGTGGCCTGGCTTGAACACATTAATTCTTTCTCTCTTCTCACTGGAGGAAATATGTGGGTAACAGAATGGCTGAAAGTTGGTGTTTTTTTCCCATAATTTTATGTTTAATACTTGAGGAAAGAGAAAAGATCAAAACGGTACAGGTTCTTGATGCCAGAAGTAATGGCACACTAGCAAGCTGGCTGCCAAAGGATCGACTAGAAGAAAAGGCCTTTACTACAGGAGTGATAGAGCTGTGTTTGTCTCTTGAGTACTGGATTAGCCGAGCTAGCGTATGAGATGTGGGTAGTGCTCAGGCCTCTTAGCTGTTGATGGTAATCATGGTATTAGAGATCTTGGCTATAGCGTACTGGATGCGTAACATCTCAGTTCAGTGATTAGTAGTGGTAGGTCACACTGATAAAGAGATGAAGGCAGCAGGGAGTAGCCATGAAAAGGCACATAATTTCTTCTACTTTAATTATAAGAAAGAGATCTTGAAACCATACATGCTGACTTCTTGTGTGTTGATTTTATATTTGGGTTTGACTAATCTGCTTTTGTTGCTGGTGAGTGGTAATTTCTGTTAAGTAGGGTTGTTCCTTTTAGATGAGTGTCCTTATTATCCAGAAACTTAGTAGTCAGTTGCTGTATAAAAGTAAGAAAAATAACATATGAATTTTTTTTTGTAAAATATTTATTTTTTTGTGAAGAGTAACACTCATGCTGAAATCCTGCTTTGTCTACTCCATGTGAACTGCAAAATATATTGCTAAGAATTCGAAGGTTTTTTTGTATCCGTAGCACAGCAAGCATATATAAATCTGTTGTCAAAAATACTAACATGACTTTTTATTCCTTCTTAAAGATTTATTACGTTTTTTAATGTAAAAAATAAACCATGTATGCAAAACTACATTTAGAATAAACATAGTTTGTCACCCCAAATCCAGATCAATAGGGTTAATTCACTGGTGGTTGTACTGGATGAGAGTTTTGACTATAAGGGCCTCAAAATCTACTTAAATCAATTACTGATGTTCTTAGCTTTATTTTGACCTAAAAATTTTTAAAAAATTTTAAGTCCTGCATGTGATGTTCAGTGGAAGAAATTGGCCAAAGCTGTCAACTATTGTTCCAGGCTACCTAGCACACTTAAAAAGCAGATACAAGGTTCTTCTCCTAAATGTGGAAGCAGCAAAAGCTTTCCTTATAGCTCAAAATCTCAAAGTTCCTGGTTTTATTAGTTCACTTCTTTTTTTTTTATCCCAGAGCTATCTTTGCAGTGTTTGTTTATGTTGTATGTAACGACTCCTTCTATCTTTGCCAATAGGAAGAAATTTATTAAGTATAGGTGGTGAGTTTGGAAGCAAAATACGATAAGCATGTCTTTGCCTCTGAGCACGTGCAGAGGCGCATCTAAGTATTCAAGTTCATATGTGGTGTGTAAACCACGTAAGTAGGTGCTGTGCTTCATGCTAATGAAGTTCAAGCTCAACAAACGGGTCTCAGGAAACTCAGGAATATTCTGCTAGCATATATCATTTTAACAATTTTCTGGTTATACCTCACATTATAATAATAGTAAATAGGCTAGCCAAGTTATTAAGAACAATATTTCACATCTAACTATGCACACAAGAATATATACTCTCCTTGAGGTGCACAGAGTTATGTACAATACTCCCATTAATGTTAATAGGTGTTACAAGTCTGCACTGAGCAGAGAAATTCTCCTGAAGTATCTTTGTTTACGGCATGTCTGATCTGTTTTCTTATTGTTGATACATAACGAGTAAAAAGCTTTAGTACAGTGGCTGAACCTGTATGCATATATGCACACATACATGTTGTGTGTATGCTTAGTACGTATCTTTTGGCAACACCTTTTGGAGGTCTGAAATCTGTACGTGATGTAGAGATTTGAACTGCCATTTTTAGCAAGGACATTCAGTGCATATGCTCAGATTGCGAAAACGGCTACTTAATTTTGGTTTAGTAGAGTGATTTGGTTGTTCTGTATTTAAATCTTGGGTAGATTATCTGTGCATTTGCATGGAGAGATTGAGGCTTTTTTTTCCACTTCCCACTATACACAATGAGGAAAGGCCAACAACGGTATAATTCTCCTTCACTGGAATTGCACATGCCTGAAGGTTACAATCGTGCCTTGTTAGTGAAATGTAGGATTTGTGCTAGTATGGCCAAATGCTAATGTCTTTGTCTTGTACTTTTGAGTTTCAAGAGCCACAACCCCAACTGCTCTTGTAGATCATCTTGTATTTCTAAATGCACAACGCAAAAGAGTTTGCTGGAAATTGTTGTTCTACAGATGTGCTGTGGAATTGTAGCATTCAAGGATGTTCAAGTTTGAACGAAGATGCAGTTTTATTTCGCTTCTTTTCTGTTACCTTTTCAGCTGACCATGCCATGGAAGAGAAGATGTGGTACTGTTAGGTACACTGGGCTTGCAGGTCTTCTGGGAAACATCTCTTAATCATACATTATTAGAGCAATGGAAAAGTGCTGATTTTGATCATAATTAGCAAGGAATGTACTTTTGCTGAAGTGTTGCTAGAAAGTAAGAGTGCTCCTGTTGTACCAAGTAGTTTCTAAGAACATTCGTAAAATATGAGGTAGAGAGGCCATTATTTCAAACAAGTTTACTGTGATAATATTCAGCCTTCTTTATTTATATTTTAATATTTTCCAATGTAGAATTCGAATAATGACATCATTAAGCAGTCGACCACCATTAAGTCACTAAAACACGAAGTCCAGGAAAAAGAAGAACGGATTCAGGAGCTACAAGCAAAGTATGTTCACTCTTCTATCCGTTGTGTTTGGTGCCACCCAGTGGCAGCTGTATAATTGTTACAGTATTGACCGTTCTTACATAGATTTTTAAGAGAAGGTGTTATTCTTTTTTTTTATTGCAGTCTTGCAGACTGTTACAAGGATTTTTTGAGAAGCTGGAGCAGTACATGCTAAAAATGCGTTGGTTTAAACTGATGAGTTATTAGCTAGCTACAGTATCTGTACTGAAATAAGAATACCTTAAATCAGAAATCTATGAAATAAGAATACCTTAAATCAGAACTCAGACTCTAGAGTAGACTGTTTTATCCTTGATGTAAGTCTAAATGAATTCCTCGGCACTGTTAAACACAGGCTTTCAAATACAGTAATTCCTTGCCTAGGGGCTAAGAGATGTGTCAAGGTTCAGATGCTTAAACAAGATTAAATATCCAGTCTTATATTTATAAAATGTTCAAAAGGACGGTTGTATTTGTTTCTATTTGAATTGATTAAGGTTTACTACTCATTTTGAAATCCACTTGTATTGTTGGGGAGTATGCAACTGAGGTTTTTATTCTACCCTCGTTAACTGATACAATACTGTTCTTCAATTACATTATGATACAAAAAAAAATATTAGGGTATCTGAATATTTTGTCTGTCACAGAGTTGAACTTCTCTAAACAGTCAATTTTTCTTTTTATTTGTAGAAAGAATGCAGTTTACTTACATGAAATTAGTTCATTTCAAAAATAAAGAACTCTTAAAATTTGTACATTGTTTGTCTGTTTCAAAATAAAACTGAATTTAAAATAGTTACTGGTTATCATGACTCCTCTATAAAAGAGATACTGGTTTTTCATAAAGTGTAAAGTATAAACACTAGTGATGTAAATGTAAAATAAACGGAAGAGATTTTGAGATGCAGTTTTCAATTTGTTGGTTTTAGGGTTTAATTCTTTCTTTTTCTTTTTTTTTTTTTTAATGTTATTGACCTGGTATCAACAGTATTTTATTCCTGAATGGGTTACTATCATTCATTTAACATTCATTTAAAAAAAAAAAAAAAAAAAACCGGTTTCAAAATATTCAGGTATTGCTTATATTTATGTTTAAAAGAGTAGTTTGCATCATTGAGGTGGAGGCATTGTATGAAGCATAATTTGCTCACTGAACAGAGATTATATTGTAGTACATAAGTGTTTCTTTTTTTTGGGGGGGGTTTCTGAAAATGCTGATGTTATTTCCAGGTTTTGCAGTTTTTAAGAATTATTTTGTTTGACATTATAGGGAGATTTTTCATGTACTTCTGTGTATTACTCAGTTGGATGAAAGGAGACTTACCCTTTTCACTTTCTTTTAAAAACAATTTTTTACAAAATAGTGTTTGAATGATACCTGCTTCAGACGTCAAAGAAATTTAATTACGGTTTGTGTGTTCAACAAGTTTTTGGTTTTTTTTGATAATCGCTTAAGAAGAGTTACTTTGATTTCAGATCAGACAAGGTAGAGCACAAACCACAGCAAAAAGCAAAAATCAGAAATAAATTGCATGTTTAGAAATATATCTGTTTATTAAGACTTGAAACGGATTTTAATGGTTGAGAATAGGCTAAATTGCAAGAATTACATCAGCTTTTGTTTAACAAAATTTTCTAGCTCTACAGGAGTGTTAATTTGTCTACTGCATTTATACTCTTGTGTTTATTAAAATAGTTGCTTAACAGCAATTTTTTCTAACAGTGACATGCAATGTGATTTTCTTCCCTTCTAGGATTCCTCGACTGGAGAGAGACCTTAATATGAAAAGACATTTGATAGAAGACTTAAAGTCTCGTCTAAAAGCAAATCAAGAAAATGAGAAAACCTCTAATGAAACATTAGAAAGTCTTGAGAAAAAGGTACCAGGAAAAGCAAAAGATGGTGGATTTATAGAAGTTACTTCAACACACTATACATACTAAATCAATATATTGCTTTAAGGAAACAACATACAGTTAAATTAAGTGTGTAATTCCCTCCACTATAAATTGTATGAAATCAGTATGTGGTGATAGCTTGGATGGATTCAGCATAATTTAATGTATGTTCATAAGCAATGTAATTAAATATTAAAATATTCATAACACTGAGTGGCAAGGATATGCTATAAGTAGTGAGATTGAGTTTTATGCACTTTAAGTTCATAAAATATAGTAAACCTGGAACAAGGGTGATTTTACATGACATATGCTAATGAAGTCCATGCAACTCTCCTGGCTATAGTAGTTAAATGCTTTAATATGTTAATCGTTTCTACGTCTATGTTATGAATGATTCACGGTTCTTAGCTTAATGTATCAGATTGTTTTCTCCTGCAAAATTCTAGGATGATTTCACTGAAGTTAGGAGAACTTGTGTATGTTTTGACATCTTCCTGTATTATCCAACCAATGTCTTGCACTAGCCGTTAATACCAGGAAAAGATTGATATTTGGTTGTCTGTGAGGTTATGCAGCATACGACCCCAAAATAGAAATAAACAATATATCAATTTGCTTTTGGTTTCCTAGAATGTGGGTGATTGCTGAGTATCACAAGCACCATCTCTGCTTGCAGTCCCATAGTAGTCTCAGCTCTAGAAAGAGCTACTGTGTTACCCTCTGTGCCAAAGATAAGGTGTTACTAAGAAATCCTCAGCCAGAGAGTGAGACCATACCTAAGTAAGGCAGATAAATATGAAACGAGAAATACCTGGGTTTGGTTTTTGGACGAAAGATTTAGAATGGAGCAATGTACTTCAGTGCTGTTCTTTGAGTATTTTAAGCGCTGCATGTCTCAGATTCCAGAGAATTGAATTCCATACGTTAATTTGATTATTCCATGTGGAAAATCAGCTTGATACATTTTACATTAACTTCAGCAGAAGATCAAATAAATTCCTTGTAACTCAGTATTGTCAGGAAACCTTTGTGATTAATACTGTAAGAAGAGCTGAATGATTTTCTAGGAGCATTGGTCTATTTCATTTTACCCCAAATCAGTTTTTGCATTGTATGGCAAAATAATAATTATCTAAGAGGTTTTAGAGACTATTATCTTGTAGACAGTTATCATTTTCTCAGATAAGTTTTGGTTAATGTTTCTATATCTGATGGAAGGAATGAGTGGAAGTTGTGATTTGGTCCCTTTTGCACGCACCGTAGTAGTAAAAATATATATATACAAACAGCTTTGCAAATGAAAAGCTTTTCAGGAGCTTCATAAGCCAAGACTTACATAACCAGATTGTCTGCAAACTAATATCTACTAGATCACCAGAGATTTATTAGAGACTGTAATGTCAGAAAAAGGTATTTTAATCGAATTATGTATATAATACAGGTATTTTTATGCAATATAGGTAAGCTCGGTTTTATTTTCATTTTTAAGTTTTATATCTTAATAGTTAATTGCTCTTGGCATTTCATTATTTCAGGTAAAGACACTGTCTGAAGACTGTTCAAACAAAAAGGTTTACATTGACATACTGAAACAGAAACTTAATGTAGCTGCAAAAGAGAAGTCTGAGTATGAGGAGATGTATCACAAAGCTAAAGATGAGTTGAAGAAGAAGGTATATTAGTGTTGTGACAGCTCCACTGTGGAACTTTTTCATACTTTTAAATGGAAAGTTGCAAGATCATCAGCTTAGATTTTCTGAATACAGAAGGGGGAAAAAAACCCAGAATAGTAGTAGTGTGTTTCTTTGATTTAATTCAGTCACATCCCTGAAATTTAGATGCTGAAATGTGGACATAATGACTAAAAATTAAATTATTTTTCCCATGCAATTACATTTTATGTGTTGCAAGCAGAATGTTCTGTGATGTTAACTCTTGTGTGGGAGGTTGGTTTCGTCATTTGTTTGTTTGTGGTCTACTATACCTGCCTATCAGCTTTTGTGTCACTGCTGTTTCTCTGTGGATGCATTTCAGGATCTCAAGTTTACCGATCTAGAAAGCAAAATGGTTGAGACTGAAAGTGCCATGACTGAACTTGAGACTTCTACATCTCAGCAACTACATTGCTTGGCTAAACACACTGAACAGGCTTTGGAAACTTTACAGAAGAAGCTGCTGCTCACCAGTGACAAAGTAGAGGAGTTCGTGACATTTGTGAAGGTTTGAGTTTTGATTTTTTGAGTGTTCACTTAAATTAAGGTATTCTTGGATGAAAACAAAATGTAAAAGGTTAAATGAGGCTAATCTTCGTTACATTCCCTGTGCTGGAACAGTCTTTCAGCTTCCTGCACTGGCCTGGTGTCAGCTCTGAACTGGTTCAAGCAAGGAGAGAGAGACAATGGTTCTAGGTCTCCCTCCTAGACTTCCATAGACTACTGTAATTTTTATTGGTCATCTTTTTGTATATGGCTGCCAGTGTGCTTGTTCCCAAGAGGAAGTGCTTAGTTATATAACAAATTACTTTGCAGAAAAAAATTTCCCACATTTAAAAATGTAATTGTATCTGTTGATTAGCGTGAATTACCTTATTTTCCACAGGCATGGCTTTTTATTGCAGAAATATAAAAAAAGGAACCCTCTCCACTGCAAAATCAAAAGCAGTTTTAAAAGCAGTTTGTGGAATACTCTTTTCTTATTTTGGTTAAATACTTAACAATCTGCTACAGTGCACCATGCAATAATACTATATCAGTGTTTTTATACAGATGGCTTAATTATACTGCTGCAGCCTGAAGTTTTGCAGGAGGGGCTAATCTGTGTTTTGTAACTTAATATTTGAAATATAAATAATATTTATTTTTCTGAAATACCTACTATATACCTACTTTCAGGCAAGGTTATATCATACTAACCCATGAAACAGATCTACTTTGACAGTTCTTGGGTTTCTGTAGAGTTGAGCTGCTTTCAGATGTGTTTGAGCGAGTCTGATTGCATCCAAAGAAGAGAGCGGTTGTATTTTGATGCACTTCAAGAAAAACTGCATATATGGTTATTCATTAGTGAGTAACTTCCCACTGTGAATTGAAATTTAGTAACTTAAATACCTATGCATTTTACTTTCTTTTTGTCATCAGATAACAAGTCACTCTACTCTCAGACCTCTGCACTGGGCTGAAACCATCCTATGTTCAATTCAGTTACAAAATTCACATTATCTTCAGTGTTAAAAAAGACCTGAACAATGTTGAATACAATTTAAATCCTAAATTCAAAGAATTTCTAAGCTAAAGTATATAAGGTGAAAAAGGCGATGGACTTTAATGAAAAAAAAAAATGTGCCTGTTATTTTAAAAATAACCGGGTTTTTAAGTTTGTAATTAAAATGAGGACTATCTTCTGTTTGCTTTGTTTCATAACCCTTGGGAAGGCGGTATAAAAATGATCACTGTGCCCTGTGTTTCAGAAGTATCTTGCATATTCTTGAACAAACTGTTACTTTTCATGGAGGAAAATCTGCTTTCTTCTAATACAGAATTCTTCCTCTAAGAAGAAGAAATGAGTGTTCTTCCTGCACTGCATACTTATTTTTGGCTAAGCATGGGAAATCCTGAATTAATCTAATGTATTATCTATTCTTCTTAAATTAAATACTCCTACAGAGTATTTAATACTCCTACAGAGAGACACAGTTCAATCTCCATTCAGGCCGCTATGAATTTTGGAATTATTTCATTGAATAAACTGTAATAGCGGTTAACAGACAAAGGAGATAACCAAGTATTCACACTATAAATACTTTACATGATTCTATAATGAAAAATTTGTCAAAAATTAGAAAATGAGAAACTAGAAGTTCTTCCCTTTCTCACAAGAAGCTGTAACGTGGAGAATCACCTATTAGCAACTGTTACGATACTTCATTCATTGTTGAATAAGCCGACTGCTTCTCTGTTAGTTACCATGAATATTCATTAGCATTTACTTGGTTGTACTGTATGTGAAAAGAATGTTAATATGTAGTTTCTCTATAAGTAATAATAATATTTAGCTAATAAAGCTAAATATGTAGTTTCTTCCCTGGATAAAAGAATATGCATGCATATTTCAAGTAACATTTTTGCTGACTACTCTTCCTCTGCAGAAAGATTTTTTTTAAAATAAAGATGCTGTCTGTAAGTCAAATATTGATGATCAGGGAGTTCCTCAGTAGACTACTTTGTTTAGTTAGGTACTAAATATTTATGGAAAAAAGAAGTTCTCCGAAATCAGATTTTATTCACAGTATACCACTGTAAAAAGTATAGTTGAAAATCCTTGGCGTTTCAGTGGAATTTTGTAATATATCAAATACCCCCTGTTAAAATACCTCTTACGTGTCTGATACTATAACCTGCATAGGAAGATCAAGGTGGCACAATAAGAAGTAGCAGTACTCCTTCCTGCACCAGCTCTCCTTTTGGAGTCTGGTCTCTCTCATTTTTACTCTTTCCTTCCAGGTCAATTTTCCCCTGACCTTGGTTCTCACTCAAGTTTCAGTAACTCAAATAAGTTTTTCTGTATAGAGATCACATTTAAACTGTCTCTTGCTTAACCTGGTAAACATATTTTTATCACCCTCTTATTTTTGTTTGCTATTCTGATCACCTCACAAGCCTTACTTGTTTTTCTGAGTGCAAGTGTAGTGTTCTCCTCATTAATCAATTGAATGCAGTTACTTTTTCTAGCCATTCCATGTCTCTTATGACATTTTATAGGTAGTTCTTTCTTTAGCATACAACAATTAAGTCATTTCAGTATTGCTAATTAATAGCTACAGCTAGTAATAGGATAACAGAGGAATTTCAGAGAAGAGAGTGTGACTCTCTGCTTAGAGTAGGCACTGATACTTGCTTTTAGAGTTACGGATAACTCGGAAGCACAGGATCTTGAATCCGTTTGGATCAGTATACTCAACTAGAAAACCTGGAGGAGAGGTTTCTGGTAGGTGTCTGAGATATTACACTGGATCGCAACAGAAGATATAAGGATTTACTGGTTAAACACCTACCTGTAATGTACAATAAAGCATTACATTACTATGGGAGGCACAGTTTGGGACACTTATGCAGCTAACTAAAATTGTTAGATTGTAAAGTCTAGTAATAGTTTCTAAAAACTTTGGAAGAAATAATTACGAACAAAAGTTTCTGTATCCAACATGTTGTAAGACATTATTGTACTTATTTTTGATGTAGTGTGGTGTAGGGATCAGGTGTTAGACCTAAATTACATTCAGTAAGAACCAACAGGGCACCTAAAATAGATTGATTCAGAGCAGCTCATTTGTCTAAAGCAGTTACAAAGAAGGTAGAGAGTAGTAGAAAATAGGTATGGAAATTGTGCACTGTAACAGTTTATTAAGTAACCAAAAAGCCACAGTTCCATAATTAGATGGTAGCTCCTTATAAATATCTGTTTCAGTTTGACAGGAAAAAGAACACAGCATTTAGAAATAAAAAGGCAACATAAAGGAAGTGGAAAATGTATTATAGATAAGAACCTGAAAATAGGAGCCGCAATAGAGGATGGAAAGATGAAATCTGTGGGTAGCAAGGCCAAGAGCAATTGTAAAAGCGCAGGATTTAAAAGTGTGTTAGTAGTAATATACCTATTATAGGATGGATACAACCCATTATTAGATAAAACAACTCTAACTGTGTAAAGATAGTCTTGTATGAGTATTTCTGAGTTTTATCTGGAAGGAAGTAGTCTGATGTTATATGGAGATGAAACATCCCCAGGCTATTAGTAGCCAATGGAGGTTTTCAAACAGTTTGTAGATAGAAGTACTGTTTTTAAGTTGAGAATTTTTATAGCTTACAACTTTCTAGGGCTGCTTAAGGAATTTTTCTCTTGTTGATCCTCATGTTCAATAAGTATTGAAAGTAAATGTATATATACTGTAACACTGCCGTGGGTCTAAAAGATTGATAATATTTAGTCAAAATTCAGAAAAGGTACTCAGGATAAGTATTTTTAGGTCAGTTAGTCTGACATCATTTCTAACTAAAACAATGAAAATCTGATAGGAAATTTAATTATTAAGTATTAAAGAATAATAGTTACACTTTTAGAATGGCTTTATGGAAAATAAGTTACACTGAATAAATCTGATTTCTGGAAGGCAGTACAAGTCAGTTGATAAAGAGCACTATTAATTTTAATAACTTTTTAAAGATGTCTGACAAAACACTGGGATGTTCAGAATAAAAATGTAGGCTATGCAATATCAATAATATGTTAAATGAATTTAAATGGTGTGTGTGGCTCCTCTTAATAGTAATTAATGATATTTAGCTGTTTCTAGAGTAAGAAATCTTCTGTAAATATCAGAACTAAATGATTAATAAGCATTTTCCATAGAACTAAATATCAAATCCTGATAAAATTTGTCAATGACATTTATGAAGACTGATAACTGATAATGAAAATAAGGCTGTAAGCACAATGTGAGCTATTTTGTAAGAACGCGAACTATACATAAGACCAGGTGGCTATAAGAGTATCTTAGATGCCTTCTATAAAACTTTATCCCACCCACCTCCCTCAGCACCATAACTTCTCTTTGAACCATCTATCTAATTTCTATGGAGTGCCATTGTTCAGTATTTTGCATAACATGTATTGCACTATCAGATCCCCAGGTGGACCTTGCCAGTTATGTGCAGCACAGCAACCAGTGCAAAATGTTCTGTTGTGTTTTAGTACCTTTGTCAACGCATGCAAAAAATGGCCTTCGGATAAAGTTAAAAACTGCTATTAAACTACTTGGCTGGATGTCTATCCAAAACAGGGTACAGCACACTTGTTTGCTATGAAACCGTCCAAAATCCTGCCTAATTGTGCAGGAACTTTGTTTTCCTGCTTTGCTGTACTTCTTTTTAAGCTCATCGAGACTTTGCATATTGCTTTTATGGACCATTGTAAGCTCAAGACTCAGTAGTGTTGTCTTTCCCATTCAACTTGTGCATGAGCAAATCTCATTTTGATAAATTAATCTTCAGTGGTGACGTCTGTCTGAGCATGAAAATATCAGAACTTTTCTGACCTTGAGGAAGATGTTTTTAAGTTTTGACACGGCACCTATGTTCAACTGCATCTGTAATAAATAGGTGATGGCGGCTGAATGCTTCAAAGTCAGCTAAGTTCATTTCTCACTTCGTAAAGCCTCTGTGATT